GTTTATGTAAGGGGGGGTTTTGGTAGAACAGACCAGGTGAAATCCAAAATGCAGGGAGGAAAAAAGCAGGGCTGATAAAATTTTGATTGCAAGAGAGAGTATGAGTTTCGAAAGGGTCAAAATGGGTGGGAGTACCCCCTATTTAAAACATGGAGGGGGTTGGGGGAAGGGGGGAAAAAAGGAAGGGAAAAACCTCCAAATTGGGGTGCCACCCTTTAGTCACAAAAGAGACCCCCCCCCCCCCCGAGGAAAATTGGGGGGGGGCATTTAAAAAACACCAAGTAAACAGAAGTGGTGGGGGGGTTTTAAGGTTTGAAACCCAAAAAAGGCAAAGTCCCGGGAAGAAAAATGCCCGAGAAGGAGAGAGATAAAAGAATAAAATTGTAAACCCCTTAAATTTTTGTGGGATACGGGCTGCAGTGTAAAGCAGCGAGGTATGGACAAAAAAGTTTACCCGTACGGAATATCCAAAAACTAGAAGAAAAGGGGACTTTCATTAAAGGTTTCCCAATTTTTTGGGGAAAAAGGGTCCGAAGAATACAATAAATTATTTGCCCGGGGATAGGTTTTTAAAACCCGCCCCCAGGTTTTAATTTTGGTTTTTTGTAACCAAACACCCCAACCCGGGGAAAAACCTGGAAAGCAAAAATTTGAAGTCACCCCCCAAATTTCCCGGGGCCGCGGATTTTTTCCACTGTAAATAGGCCATGGAAAATTTGGGGATGAAGAAAATAAACCCGGAATCTGTAGGTTTAAAAGGGCCCCACGGACCCAGAGGGGGTTTGAAAAGTCAAAGTGGGTGGCAAATTGGGGAAAACGTTTCCCAAATTGCGAAGGGGAAAGGAGCGTTTTTCGAAGAAAAGGGGAGTGAAGATGGGGAAAAGGGAAGAGAAGGAACAGGAAGGGAAAACAGGTTTTTCCATTTTAAGGTTTTAAAACCCCCGGGAAAAATATTCTGAAATGGCTTCAAGTGTTTTGAATTCAAAAAATTTATGGGGACCATATTTGGGGATAGGAGGGGGTGAGTAAAAAAATTGGGGGAAAAGTAAAAGAACTGCACCAAAAATAGAGGGAAAGGGAAAAGGGGTAAAAGGGGCCTTTGGGGTGAAGTTTTGGGGGGGGGCAGAAAGGCAGAAAAACCCCGGGGGGGGGGCAGAAGGGGGGAAAAAACTTTTGGGGGGGAAAGGGGGGGGAAGGGGATAGTACAAGGGAAGGGGGGAAAACTTCCCCACTTTTTAAAAATAGCCCGGGGAGGGGGGGGAAAAACTAGGTACAAAGGAAATGGGAAAGGGAAAAATGTGGGGGGGTGGGGAAAAAAGGGAAGGAAGGGCCAAAAAAAAAGAAAATTTAGCAATTTTGGGGAATTTTTTGGACTTCTTTAGTAAAAGGGGCGATTGGTTGTAGGGGGTCCCTTAAAGAAAGGGCTTTTTGATACTGGGGGTTTTTTGAAGGAAAAGGAAAGCAAAAAGGGGTGTGAGAACAGACCGGTTGTAGTTTGGGGTGGGGCAGAGCCCAAAGGGCAGCAAAAGGATTTGATGCCGCGTTTGGGATGGGGGGGGGTTTAAAAACAAGGAAAGGCCCCGCAGAAGGGTGGGACCCCCCGAAGTGGGGGGGGTGGTTTTTTGGGAAAAACGAGAAAAAAAAACACGGGGGTTTGCTCCCTTGGAGGCGGAGTAGTAAAAACTTTCCATAGCATAAGGGGGACCTTTTGCCCCCTTTGAGGAAAAGGATTTCCCCGTTTTTATTTTAAAATAAAACCTGGCAACGGGGGAAAATAAAGGGAAAGGTAGGCTTTTATTACAATGAAGGCAAAATGGGGGTTGGGCTGCAAAGATGTTTTTAAAAAAGGTCCCTCGGCACCAAAAGACTTGGCAAAATTCCCGGCCCCAAAATTTGCAATATTTCGGTGGGGGACCAAAAAGCCCCAACCCAATTTTTTTTACATTGTTGCGGTGGGTTTTAACCTTTTGAACTTTTTTAACCGAAAAACCCGCGACATATAAAAAGAGGACGGGGAGCTTTTCGGCTGTCCAAAAATTTAAAAGGCCCCCCTTGCCCAAAGGGTTTTAATCCCCGCCCCCGGGGAGGAAGGAAAAATAAAATGTCTACTTTGAGGTTGGGGGGAAAACCCGGAGTTCCAGCTGTTTTAAGAAAGTCATTTTCCACATACTTGGGGGAAAATTTGTTGGACTATTTGGGATGGGGCCGAATGACAGTAAACCAAATACAAAAAATTGAAGAAAATGTTTTTTAAAAGTGATAGGGGGTAGTAAAACCCCATATTTGAAAGGAGAGGGAAAAATCTTTAGGGTTGGGTTTCATTTGGGGCAGTGACGGGTTTCGCTTTCCGCCCCTTGAAAGCATGAAAAAGAAATATTTTACCAAAAATTGGGTGCAGGGCACTTTTTTCCAAAAACTAAAGGTCAGAAAAGGGAGGCAGAAAAAAGAAGTCCCGGTTTTTAAAAATAAAAAGGAATTTAGTTTCCCTTGTGTGGGGGCCCCAAACCCAGCATGGAAAAAGGGGAGTGCTTGACCCTTTTCGGTTCCCTTTTTCCCAGTAAAAAATGGGGGAAGGTAACAAAGGGGGCATCCTTTAAAGGGGATTGGGCGTTGGCGTTTTTGGAGTAGGCCCCGGGGTTGGGGCCGCCCTGGGGAAAAGGGGCTGGCGATTCGAAAAAATTTCCCGTTCCGAAAAGGGGGGAGGCCGGAAGCATAGTAAAGGAGAGCGGAGGTTTTGAGAAATGAAGGGAAATCAGTCGAAAACCCCGGTAAAACCGGAAAAGGGGTTTAAAGGGAAAAAAGCACCACAAAAAGTAAGGGGAAAACAGGAAATGGGCCGAAAAGGGGTGGTCCCCAAAAAAAAAGGCAGGGTTTAGAAAAGGGGGCGGTACAAGAAGGGGGGCCCCGGGGGGAGTGGGTTTTAGGATTTGGGGGGCTCCATGGTTAGGTTTTTCTCCTTTTTCTTTTTTTTTTTAAGAAAAAAAAAGAAAAAGAAAAAAAAAGGAAAAAAAAAAAAAAAGAATAAAAAAAAAAGGGGGGGCCGGGGGAGGAATGGGTTTTTTTTTTCCCCCGGAGGAATGAAAGGGGCCCGGGAAAACTCCCCCCCGCGCCCCAAAAAGGACCTCAGCACCCCAGATTTCAGCAATGGAAAACCCCTGCCCCAAACCCCACCCTTTATGCCCCGTTTCACCAGCAAAACCGGATAGCAAACCTCATATCTTTCCGAGGGTACCTCGGGAGGCAAAAGAGGGGGGCGGCCGGATATCCCCCCCACAAAGCCAAAAAACCTCCTTCGGCCACCACCCCCGGGAAACCGAAAAGTGGCTTCCGAGATACCCCCCGTCGCCCCCAAAACACCCAAAAGCTTTCTTTCCCGGGTACCGGGGAGGGATCGGGGCATCCCCCGGGAATCCCAAAATTTCCCGGCAAAATAAAGCCACCGCCAAGAACCCCCCAACGGAAAGGGATGGGCCCCGGAAACCCCTTTCCCCCTACCAAGGAAACAGCATGCCCCGGGGGGGAGAAATCCCAAAAGGGCCAAAAAAAAGGGAAAAGGGGAAAAGGGGAGGGGGTTTTGGGGAAAGGGGGAAAAAAGGAAAAAGGAAAAAAAAGGGGGGGGAATGGGGTTTGGGGGGGGGGGGGAAATTTGGGGAATTTAAATTGGTTTTGGTCCCGAGGAAGGGACCCACAAGGGGCTTTATTTTCCCAGACCAAAGCCTCCCTTTACCACAAAAAAGGACCCCCCCTTTAAGAGGCCAAAAACATATTAAGTTTTTCCCCCCACCCACAATTTTCCCTACTACCCCCCTCCGAAAAAACCCCCCAACTTTGGGAAATCAGCCCCGCCCCCCAATTTTCCCCAGCCCTGGTGAGGTTTTTGGTTTTTTTTATTTTTCTTTTTAAACTACAGTAAAAAAAATAAAGTCAAAAACCCCTTCAAAGCTTTAAAATTTTGGAAAATGCCATTCATAAGGAAATTAAGGGCATGACATCATTTGGGTTTTCTCTTTTAACATGGGCAAAAAAATCGAAAAATTTTTTGCTAATTTCTAAAAAAAAACGAAAAGAACGAAGAAGAAAAAATGTTTAAAAAACACAGGGTTGAAAACAGTGGAAAGAAAGGGATCCCAAGTCAGGTGGCTTTTGCTGGAGGGGAGCATTAGCTTTTTAATTTACTTTTTCCTAAAATCCATAAAACCATTCTTTCACTCAAAATTTATGTATTAAAAATGCTCATTAAGTTTCAGTGCCCATAATCAAATTTAAATTTAAAATTACTTAAATGTATACCCAATGTACCATATACAGTAGGACCCCACTTTACAGCGATTCGCCAATGCGGACATTTCATATTACAACCAAAATCTGTTCATATGGCTTTCTCCCTAATTTGCTATTATGGCATCCGCATGCCACTTTGTTTACATCCTCTGAGCTCCCCATCTCCCAATTACGTCTGGAAACTTTCCAAAATTTCAAGTGTTTTAAAGTTATTGCCTATTTTATATATTTTCTGATAACTGTACTTATGTACCTATACCTAAATAAACTTACATTGTGCTGGTGTGCAGGTACACATTAAAATCACCAAGTATGTCTCTAGTGCTGAAGATGCAAAAATAATAATAATAATAATATTCATCATCGCTCTGGGGCACTTTAAATGTCATACGTTTCGTGTATGTGTGGTAGCTGGGAGAGCTACCACATCTGACTTCCTACAATAAATACTACTCACCTCTCACCCTACATTAAGACTATTATTATTTTATGGTAATTAATGAGTCTGACCGTGGACTGGTTGTGGACCGGGCAGAGGGGGCGTTGATCACTGGAATACCCTCCAGGTAGTTCTATTGCTACCTTAATATATGATAGTGTAAACATGTTATAAATGCATATAAATGCTTCATAATTGAAAAAAAGTGTGATTCGCTTTACAGCGATTTCCGTCTTACAGTGGTAGCCTGGAACCTAACCTGCTGTATAAGTGGTGCCCTCATGTACTGCAACATCAACATCAGTAAACAAAGCCAGAACAAGTTTACATTTTAATTTATCATACTTGGACAATAAGAATTATCACATTCTAACTTTCATGGATAAGGAATAATAGTTAATTGTGAAATATTTATATAATAATGGCACCTTTTTTCTCTGGAAGAGATAGCTGATCTTCACTTTCCTTAGTGTTTACTTCTTCCTCTTCATTTTGTTCTTCCTCTTCACTCTCAACATCTAGTACTCCATTGTCATCACAAGTCACTCCACTTTGTACCGACTTTGCCTTCTCATCAACCTAAACAATATTTATGGAAAAAAGTTTTGACATTCGTTAAGTAAATCAAAAATGTACCTACATACACTGGCTATGGTATATCTGAGAAACTATGAAGGCAAGCCCTCCCTGAAGTATGCTTACAGAGCATGGGATTGCTTACCAGTGTGAAAGATAAATTTATCACTCAAAGTATAACAATCATTACCAAAATAAACATGAGTGCTGATACACTAAAGGGGAATCACAAAAATAATAATAATAGGAAAACAGCAAGGTATATTTAAGATAACAAAAACTAGGGAAATGCAAAGTATATAAATGAGTAATAAATATCACAATACACTGACTGGAACAATTCATTATTAACACACATGTAGAAAGGTCTTGGACAGGGATGTGTAATGTCACCATGGTTGTTTAACACATTTATAGTTGGAGTTGTGAAAGAAGTAAATGCTAGGGTGTTCGGGAGAGGGGTGGGATTAAATTATGGGGAATCAAATACAAAATGGGAATTGACACAGTTACTTTCTGCTGATGATACTGTGCTTATGGGAGATTCTAAAGAAAAATTGCAAAGGTTATTGGACGAGTTTGGGAGTGTGTGTAAAGGTAGAAAGTTGAAAGTGAACATAGACAAGAGTAAGGTGATAAGGGTATCAAATGATTTATGTGAAGAAAAATTGGATATCAAATTGGAGAGGAGGAGTATAGAAGTAGTGAATGTTTTCAGATAACTGGGAGTTGACGTGTCAACAGATGGATTTATGAAGGATGAGGTTAATCATAGAATTGATGAAGGAAAAAAGGTGAGTGGTGCATTATCTATGGAGGCAAAGAAGGGAATGTGTGAAAGTACAGTATAGTGGTACCTACACTCTTATATGGGTGTGAAGCTTGGATTGCAAATGCTGCAGTGAGGAGATGGTTGGAGGTAGTGGAGATGTCCTGTCTAAGGGCAATGTGTAGTGTATTATGCAGAAAATTCAGAGTGTGGAAATTAGGAGAAGGTGTGGAGTTAATAAAAGTATTAGTCAGAGGGCTAGAGAGGGGTTATTGAGGTGATCTGGTCATTTAGAGAGAATGGATCAAAGTAGAAAGACATGGAGAGCGTATAAATCTGTAGAGGAAGGAAGGAGGGGTAGGGGTTGTCCTCAAAAAAATTGGAGGTTATGTGGGTGAGGGGTTTGGACTTCCAGCAAGCGTGCGTGAGCATATTAGATAGGAGTGAATGGAGACGAATGGTATTCGGGACCTGACGATCTGTTGGAGTGTGAGCAGGGTAATATTTAGTGAAGGGATTCAGGGAAACTGATTATTTTTATATAGCCGGACTTGAGTCCTGGAAATGGGAAGTACAATGCCTGCACTTTACCCCTTTCAGGGTCAGCAGGCCCTCAAACTTGTTCTCAGGGTAAAAAAAAAAAAAAATATTTCATAAGAAAAAAGAATCTTTTTCCCGATCATAATGACACCAAAAGTATGAAATTTGATGGATAACTTACGGAATTATGCTTTTGCAAAATAAGCGGTCTCGATTAATGTTTACATATCAGCGATTTCGCCCACCTTGAGTCCTATTTTCGGCCAATTCCAGTCGACAAAAATCATAACTTTCACTAGAACTCCATTTTTTCTATCGAATGAGTACAAGAAACCACCCATTTACTGATTTCAACTATCCAATAAAGTGGTCAGAAATTGGCAATTTTGCCAATTTGGCAATTTTGCCAATTTCACATAAATTTCAAAAGATGCCAATTTCCAAATAGGGTCCAGAATAAACAAGACAGACATTCCTGCCATTAAAATAACACTTCCTCTGTTCATTAGTCACATCCCCAGGCCTCTCTTACATTTCTTTTGCTTTCCACTTAGAATTTTTATTCTCACAAAAAAACAGAAGATTTACCTGTTATGTAGACTACTGCATTAGTGTAGAAATGGTATAAATAATATCAGTGCACTTGTGAAAGAATATTAGACTCATCAGTTGACGTGTATTGAATTGTGGCACGATTTGTTTACTTTTGAACTTTGGCAAAAATCGAATATTTCTGCTACTTTGAGCTCAATTTCAAGGTACTTTTCATTGTGAAACCAATCAAAATCATCTCTATTTCAGTAATATGTCTTCCATTCTATAAAATGAGACCAAGAAAACTAGAATACTACAACCACAAATAGCATACAAAAATACACTGCAAAGTTACTGTTTTAAAGCAAAAACACAGAGGGTTTTTTTCTCATTATGCACTGTGTGCTGCAGGATTTTTTTTTATACTGTGCACACTGACCACATAGACCAATTCTTTCATATGTAGGCCTACCAACTTTGTCTCTCTAGATTTGAAGGCGCTAGAATTTATGCATACTAGTACGGCACCAACCCTGGCGTGCAAGCCGTACTAGTACGGCACCAACCCTGAAAGGGTTAAACGAGGGGTTTGGGATATTGGCGGTTTGGAGGGATGTGTTGTGTATCTTTATATGTATGTGCTTCTAAACTGTTGTATTCTGAGCACCTCTGCAAAAACAGTGATTATGTGTGAGTGAGGTGAAGTGTTGAATGATGAAAGTATTTTCTTTTTGGGGATTTTCTTTCTTTTTCCATCTTGAGTCATTATGAAGTCACCGATGACATGTAAAGACAAGTTTGAATCATGAGAAGCACCATAATTTCATTTTAAACATTAGTTATCTCCCACCACCCAAAAATAAGAAGCATTCAAAATCATTCAACAGCTGTCTTAGTTATCTCCCACCACCCAAAAATAAGAAGCATTCAAAATCATTCAACAGCTGTCTTACTACAAGTGCAGACATCACAATTCAAATGGCTATGAACTACAATATTCCCACTTCTGTATTTTTATAGAAAGTTAAACACCACTACAATAAAATACTGTAAATATAATTACACAAGAAGTTTTAAGCATAGCTAAGTAAATTAATTAATGTCTAGACTTTGGCTTATTCAAAAAAGAAATACCTACAGGAACACCTGCAAGTGAAACATGATCATCAACTTGAGGATCATCGGTGGGTGGTTCTGCATCTTCCGTATCAGGAACTGTGGGAAAAACGATATGTTTGATAGGTGGTAGCCCAACAGACTTCAAAGGTGGCAGAAAACCCTGGAAAATAAAGAAAGTTGTATTAGTCTGATATTTAATCTTTACATCCTTAAACAAAATATACAACCGTGAAGAGTCAACAATTTAACAGCTATATTATGCACCCAAAACTTATTATGGGCAACAAACTAAAGATTACAGGAGAACATAATGGATCCAAGAACTAGGCCCCAACATTCTGTTAGCAAAGTAGGTTTTAGTAATAGTGAACTAGGAGTATTGTGAAGTACAACATTTTCATCATATTTCACTAACTACGCCACTCTCAGTAAATTGTGTCAAACATTCAAAAGTTACACTCATAAAAACTGCCTTTTAAAAGGTCACCTAAAATATTTATAAAAGAACTCTACATGATAGTATGGTTAGTACACTTGTGGCCAATTTCCAGATATACCCCAGCAACACTCAAGCCAACATATAAAGCAGTTATAATTTGGCTCATGTGTTATACATGATAATTAGTTTTTCCGTCTACTGAGAAACAAGAACTTGTGTGACAAGTCTGAAGATTCCTTGATAAGTTTTTTATCAACAAAAGAAAACCAAAACAAATTTTTATATCCAAAAAAGTAAACAATTATAAAATAGTGTACCGAGCAAGAATTCTTATCTTTCGACATGGACCAATCCTGGATAGATCTGTCATTTCAGCAGAGCTTTAAACACAGGAGGGATGTGGAATGGCCGTATGTTATGTACTAAGGAAATATTGGCAAAAAGTACCACACCTTGGATCAACTTCGAGGACAGGTGGAAACACGCTTTTATGCCACAAGACTGGCAGAAAGCAACAATTCACTCTGGCTGTACCTTCTCACAGAACCATCACTCCATCTGAGATCACTTTATACCCTGGTTGACTCTAGTATGGAACACATTCGGAAAGCATAATGATGGTCAACAAGATAAAGTCAGTTGATCAAATGAAAATGATGGCCCACAGATGGCTCCAACTTCATCCTGTCCCTATGGTATGTCTTCGTAACTCATAAAATGCTTTTTCAATTGAGTGATTTAGGTACTGCTCTTTGCTTGCAATAAAGTTAGTAATCTACCGTAAATATCTTGTCATTAAAGCTAGGGGATCCTTAACCTTGGCCAAAACCTGTGTAATAAAAACAAAAATGCGGGGGAGGACGAGAAGGGGAGAGAGAAGAGAGAAAGGGGAGAGAGAGAGAGTAAGGGGGGGGAGAGAGGAGAGCAGATGAGAAGGGGAGAGAGTGAAGGGGGAGAAGGGGAGAGAGGGGGCGATGAGGGGGAGAGAGAGGGGGGGAGGGGGGGAGAAAGGGGAGAGGGGGCGAGAGTGGGGGAAGTGGAGGAGAGAGGAGGGGAAGAGAGAGGGTGAGATACGGGGGAGAGGGTGGGGTGAGAGACGGGGGAGAGGGAGGGGTGAGAGTCGGGGTGAGAGGGAGGGGTGAGAGCGGGGGAGTGGGAGGGGTGAGAGGTCGGGGGAGAGGGAGGGTGAGAGACGGGGGAGAGAGAGGGGTGGCGGTGATGGGGGTGAGAGACGGGGGAGAGGGAGGGGGCGTGAGAAGAGGGGGGGGAGGGAGGGAGAGAGAAAGGAGAGAGAACGAGAATGAGAGGGGGGGGACGAGATGAGGGGGGGGAGTGGGGAGGGGAGGGGGTGGAGGGGGGGGGGGGGAAAGAGGAGAGAAGTGGGGAGGGAGAGGGGGTGGGGGTGAGGGGGGGAGGGGGGGGTGGATGGGGTGGGAGGGGGGGGGGTGGGGGGGGGAGGGGGGTGGGAGGGGGGGGGTGGGGGAGGCTGGGGGGAGAGGGGGGGGAGAGTGTGGGGGGGGAGGGAGGGGGGGTGAGGCGGGGGGGGAGGGGGGGGGGTGTGGGGTGGGGGGGGGGAGGGGGGGGGGAGGGGGGGGGGGGGTGGGGGGGATCTGGGGGGGCGGGGGGTGGGGGGGGGAGGTGAGGCGGGGAGAGGGGGGGGGGGATATGAAGAGGGGATGGTGGGGGAGGGGGGAGGGGGGGAGGAGGGAGGGTGGGGGGGGAGCGGGGGGTGGGAGGGGGGGGGGGAGAGGGGTAGGGGTGGGGGAAGGTGGGGGGGGGGGGGGGGGGGGGAGGGGGGGAAACCAAAGAATATAACCAACTAGGGGGAGGGGGAGGGGGAGGGGGGGGGAGGAGAGGGGGGGGGGGGGGGCGGGGGGGAGGGGGGTGAGTGGGGAGAAGGGGGGAGGGGGGGAGGGGGGGAGTGGGGAGGGTGGGGGGGGGGGGTGGGAGGAGGGGGGGGGGGAGGGGGGGTGGAGGAGGGGAGGAGGGGGGGAGGGGGGAGGGAGGGTGGGGGGGGGGGGGGGGGGGAGGGGGGAGGAGGGGAGGGGGCGGAGGGAGGGGGCGGGGGGGAGTGGGAGGGGAGGAGGGGGGGGGAGGGGGGGAGGGAGGAGGGGGAGGTGGGGGGTGGGGGGAGGGAAAGGAGGGGAGGGGGGGGGGGGGGTGGGGGGAGGTAGGGCGGAGGGGGGATGGGAGGGGGGAGGGGGGGGGGGGGGGGGGGAAGGAGGGGGAGGTGGGGGGGGGGGGCTCCGGGGGGGGTGAGAGGGGGGGGGGGAGGGAGGGGGGGGGGTGGGGGGGGGAGTGTGGGGGGGGGAGGGGGGGGGGGGGGGGGGTGGTGGGGGGAGGGGGGGGGGGGGGGGGGGTGAGGGGGAAGGGGGGGGGGGGAGGAGGGAGAGGGGGAGGCTGGGGGAGCGAGTGGGGGGGGAGGGGAAGGGGGAGGGGGTGGGGGGGGGGGGTGCGGGGGGGGGTGGAGGGGGGGGGGAGGGGGAGGTGAGGGGAAGGGGAAAGAAGGAGAGAGGGAGGGGTGGGGATAAGGGGGGGAGGGGGGGGGGAGGGGAGAGGGGGAGAGGGGGGGGGGGTGGGAGGGAGGGTGGGGAGTGGAGGGAGGGGGGGGGGGCGGAGGGGGGAGGGGAGCGGGGGGTAGTGATGGTCGGGGAGGGCGTGGGAGGGTGTGGGGGGGGGGAGGGAGGGGGAGCGAGGGTGGGGGAGGGGGGAGGGAGGGTGGGGGATGGGGAGGTGGTGAGGGTGGGGGGGAAGGGGGGGGATGGGGGAGGGTGGGGGGGAGAGGAGGGAGGGGAGGGGGGGGGATGAGGGGGGGGAGAGAGGGGGGAGTGAGAGGGGGGGAGGGGGGGAGGGAGAGTTGAGAGAGAGGGGGGAGAGGGGGGAGAGCGGAGAGAGATGAAGAGGGAGGGCGGGATGGGTGGGAGAGAGAGGGAGGGTATGAAAGAAGAGGTGGGAGGGAGAGAGAGAGGGAGGGAGAGAGAGGGAGGGAGAGAGAGGGAGGGAGGGATGGGAGGAGTGAGAGGGAGGGAGAGAGTGGGAGGTAGGGAGAGGCGTGGGAGAGAGAGGGAGGTAGGGAGAGGGGAGGGAGTGAGAGGGAGGGAGGGAGAGAGAGGGGGGATAGAGAGGGGGGATAGAGAGGGGGGGTAGAGAGGGGGATGATGAGGGGGATAGAGGGGGGATAGATAGGGGGAGGGGGGAGAGAGGAGTCTGCTTGCAGAGTAGAGAACAGAGCAAGAAGTTCATCTCTCGCCTGGGGACCATCCTGGATAGATCGTCATTTCAGAAGAGCTTCAACATAGGAGGGGTTGTGGGTGGCCTTACGTTATGTACAAGGCCAATTATTGTCAAAGTAAACACTTGGATCCACTTCCGAGAGGAAGCGTGAAACAAGTTTTTATGCCACAAGACGGGCGGGGCAGTGGAAAGCGCAACTTCATCTGGCTGTATCTTTCTCCAGAACATGAACTAAATCTGAGTTCATACTTTACCCAGGATGACTGAGTATGGAACACATTCTTACGCATATGATGTTAACGGAGATAAGTCAGTTGATGATGAAAAATGCTGGCCCCCACAGATGGTCCAACTTCATCCTGTTCCCTTCTTGTATGTCTCATATCAATAAAAAATGCTTTCAAATGAGCTGATGTAGGGTAACAGATCTTAGCTTGCCAATAAAGCTAGGGATCCTTAACCTGTGTCAAACCCTGTGTTAAAAAAAAAAAAAACAAAAAAAAAAAAAAAAAAAAAAAAAAAAAAAAAAGAGGGAGAGAGGAGTGTGAGGTGTAGTCAGTCATCCAGGAATGGATGGATGGAGTGGGTTAAGGAGACTCTGAATTTCAAGAGGTTCCAGCAGGTTTTGTGTGTTAGGACGGGAGTCAGTGGCAGTAAGTGGTTTTAATGGACAGGCTGCCAATGGGTGTGAAATTGGCACCAGTCAGCAGGACTCATGTCTTGGAGGTGGGAAGTACAATGCCTGAACTCTAAAGGATGGGTAAGGATGGTTCAGTTTGGAAGGTCTCCTGAACTGTGATGTCAGCAGGCTTTCTGGCAAGACAATGATTCAATGAGAACGATTGTCAATTTTTCCTCTTTTGGGTCACACTATCAGTAAGAGGGATAGCAGTGTTAACCCTTAAAACTGTCCCAAGCAGACATATGTTGTTCACATGTGTAGTGCTCCAAAAGTAGTTTTCTTTTTTTTTTTTTATCATTTTCAATTTAACAACAAAAAAAAAACACGAGATCAAAGTTTTTTTTACAGTTTTTAATGTAATAAAAGAAAAGATATACTTTTTTTACATACTTTCAAATGCCGAAAAACATAGATTACATTTGGACAGTGTCTTAAGGGTTTTATTTATTTATTTATTTATTTATGTATTTATTTTTTTATTTATATTGACGTATGTATATTAATATTTATAAAAAGACCCATACCTCTATAAAACAAGCCTCTGGCCCTAAAAAACTAACAAGATGACGCTAGAGACTGAACAGTCCCTGGCTAACACCCAGCATTCAAATCATAAATACAAAACACCAATATGAAAAACGCAGTAAGAATGGGTCACATAACAGAGGAACCAAACAAAACGTTACTGCAATCCTAACCAGCCTGTAAGAAGGGCAAAAAATTGTATTATGAGAAAAAGATTATCCAACTACGAGCGGGATATAAAAAGACCTGGAAAACCCTATCAGAAATTCTGGGAACAAATAAGAGATCTACGAAATTAGCAAAATAAATTTAGCAAATTCAGATGTACCTCACCTCCCACCAACAAAGAATCAGCAAACAGATCAATGTTTTTCTTCTCCACTTTAGGACAAAAACCTTGCCAATAAAATCCAAGCTCAGATACCCCACAATGACTACCTCAACGGCAACTCCCGATCACACGGTTCCTAGCTCTGACTAACCCATTCGAGTCTCCTTATTATCAAAGCACTAAAAAACATGGCAGTGGAGATTTTAAATACCTTACCACCCTTTAGATACAAAAAAAAGTGTTCACAAGTGCTATCACCCAATCATTGCAACACTCTTTAACAAATCCATTGAATCTCCACCTTCCCTACAGTAATCAAAAATAGCAGGGGTCACCCGATTCACAAAGGAGGAGACCTAACAGTGTTTGAAATTACTTTAGGCCAATATTCCAACTTTCTCCTCTCTCAAAAATCTTCGAAAATTAATTCTTAACGAATCTATCCTAACCTTTTTAATCTCCAAAACTACTCACCCTTGCAAATTTGGATTAGGCCTATTAAAATACTAATGATGCTATTATACACATTGCTAGAACATATAATACATGCAATAGAGAAAAAAAGAAGTCCCAATGGGGAATCTTCATTGACATAAGTAAAGCTTTTTGATACAGTTGACCATGAAGTGCTCAGTAAAATTGGCACACTATGGTTTAAGAGGGCCACTCCTCAAGTCATTCCTCAGCACAGAAGTCAATATGTGTATGCAAATGGGGACAAAACTTTTCTTGCACAACCAGTTCAGTTGGGGTTCCCAACAGGGAAGTGTTCTTGGCCCTCTTCTTTTCTCCTATTACATCAAATGACTTACAAATGCCGCAATTACTCTAACCCACACTATTTGCAGATGACACTACTACGTCTTCTCCTACCGAGCCCAGTCACGCTTAGCCAATACTGTAAAAAATACTGAATTACAGAAAATAACTACCTGGATGAGGAACTAACCAAAATTACAAAACTAAACATTGACAAACCTACTCATTCCTGTTTGGTAACAGAGCTACAGATGTCCCTCTTAACATTATGATAATTGGACACCTATCACAAAGCTTAAGGAGGGAAAATTCTTAGGAATCCACCTTTGATAATACTCAAATTTCATACACATATAACAACAAATTTCTAAGAAAAATTTCCAAGACTGTAGGCATACTATCGAAGATGCGGTATTATGTCCACAGTCAGCCTCCTGGCCCTATATCACTCTCTTATTTACACCTATCTACCTATGGTATTTGTGCATGGGGCTCAACAACATTTACACCATTCAGACAACTAATTTTCCCAACAAAGGCTGCAGTTAGAAAATGATAAATTTCTCACTACAGGCAGCACACTACATCCAATATTCAATATGCTAAACCTACTCACCATACAAAACATCCTTACTTTTTTCTGCACTATTACAAACATAGAACACTTAACTCAGATATTAACCCTTTCCCCTCAAACATCTCCATTTGGGCCAACCTCAACAGAACACATGTCCATAACACAAGGCACAGATCACTCTTTGATGTTCCTCGTGTCCATCTCACATATGCCAAAATCATGCACATAAAAAGGACTCTAAAATCTGGAATTCATTACCTGGAAATATAAAGAAACATACCTGTTTTAAATTCAAGTCTCTCTCAAAAGATCACTTACTCACTCAAAACCAATAAATATGAATTTAAATAACTGACCTTATAAATTGTATATCTAAAGTTTCCACAATTAGTTCACTTAAATGTTAAACCTAAAACCCATCTAACTTTTTATTATTTTTTAATTTACACTACCTAACAGATACTCAATATGACTGGAATGTACAACAATGCATTGCAACCATATGTCCAGTCTTTGTAATACTCACTTGTGCTTATATAGTTAATCTGTTTACATTAATGTTTTATCACTGATTTCATCTTTGCTATTTAATCTTAAGTTAATTTTAAGCAGCCCGTAATGGCTATGCTTAGTATAAGTGGCTTTGGCATGCTGCTCTTATCTGTAATTTTTTTGTACTCTGTATGTGTGCTCAAAATTTAAATAAATAATTAAATAAATAAATAAAATAAAATTAATAATGTTTAAATGTGATATCTTCCTCCAAGGCTAAAATCTTTCTAAAACCCAAAATATGTTCAGGTCTGAAGATCACATGTAAAAATGTCTGCATTACAAAAAACTATGTGCAGTTCAAGTAACGACATCCTTCATGTAGTTAGTAATTAATATATGCCTATTCTTCCTAAGCTGAAGTAAATTCTACCCAGATTTTTAATTTATCCTCTAAGTTTTTTCAATACATTATCAGAAAAAAAAAACGCTGCTTAGGGGTCTTGTGTGTGTATAAAACAAAATTTAGACATTCACACTGGGTTGAGGTTACTAGTCCATTCACTTCAGAACACACTGCTACAAACTTGACATCAATACAAAACTATTTAGTTCAACACAATTTAAAATTGTGCAAAACATGCCAGGCATTTTTTTTAAATCATTTTGCTTGAGTTGCACATATGGCCAGTTCACAAATTCAAACATGAGTTTTTGCCAAAACTGATTGACAAAATTGCGCCAATAACAATACCACGGGATATTCATCAGGTGAGATCTGTGGGCCAATAACATGCACACTCTTGGGTCACAGTATATCTATGAACTGATTTTTGGCTTTAGCTGTAATAAGTATCGGCTAACTGCCTGCTCGTTCTACATAAGTACTTTCCATTAATTTACTGTAGCATTAATAACAGTAAGCTAGATACAGTAACTGTAATTAAACTGTCCAAATGCTATATTTGAAACTAGGTGTGTTAATGATTTATTATAATTTTGGTTATAACTGGATTCGAACTCTAAGGGAAATCTAAGTTGATTATATACAAGTGTACGCTTCACTACACGTGTGGTTTAATTTATATGTATACACACTAATTACATGGCAAGTATGTGTTAAGACAAATTGTCTACTATTTTGATATTTATAATCAAAACAATCAAAAATGAATGATTACTGCAAATTCTGCAGTAATCATTCATTATTGGTAGTTTTTTTTATGAATACTTGTACTTTTAGCTATACCATCACACAGTTGTATGTAAATATTGTAAACCATAACCTGCTATTAAACTAATTAGACAATGAAACTCAATGGAATAAAGAAAAACCAGTAGAAGGCAGACAAAATACTTAGGGAAATAGATAATTAAAAAAAAAAGTAAAGTGATGTAGCTTCTTAAACACACAATGAGCCAAATTCTTAAACAAAATTTATGTATGTACAGCATTTAGTGTTATTTGCAGTTTCTAAGGTTGCTGGGACCTTGGGATGATAAACTGGAAAAACATAAACCCATTACAAATTTTGAAAGGAGCAAGATATAAGGGTTTCCAAGCATGGTAAACACCATGAAAGCATAATGCGGTAGTCTCCTGCACCAACAGACACCTGGACAGACAGGACCCAGCCATTTGCAACCTCAAGAATGATAAATGTCATGTATTACCATGGAAAGGAGTTTATCTCCCAGGGGTGATTGCAGGAGAGGATTCAGTTAGGGAACACAGATGAAACTTTAATATTGCAAACCAAATGACTCGGACATTAGTAAACACTTCACATGTGAGGAATATTAAAGAGCGAATGTAACAATGCAGAAAAAAAACTCATAATTGAGAAATGAAATTGTACATTAGTTCCAGATTAAGTCAGCCAACAGAAATTAAGAAAGGAGTCCAAGAGGATGAATCACAAATACGAAACTAACTAGGTCTGTATATGCCAATACTCGTTGTAATTTAATCTTCATTTTCAATTGCAGCCTGATTTAATGTGCTTACTCAAAACACACACTATTTGCTTTTACTTTCTAGCCTAAAAGCACAGGCTGGAGAAAGACATGCAAACGTACATCTCCAACCCTTCGCCGTGCCCGAGCCAAGCTGCTCACAGAGTGGTGGAGAGGTTGGCTATTCTCCTCCCTGGCAGTCTCTGTCTCATCAGAGCGTCGTAGCCAAGAACCATGGTGTGGCAGCCTCCAAAGCAACCTAGGCATCATATAGAAAATCAAAAGCACATACAGCCTCTGTAGTCACAGCAAACCAATAAGATGTCAGAAAAGCACTGCTGTCTGAGTAATTAAATAATTAGAATACACAGTACAAACTGCCATGAGTCTACAAGTTTGATATTTTAAAATAATCATGATTTCCAGAACAAGATTTTCTTTTTTTTATCAATGTTATTTCAATATATTATTAAATAAAATAACTTATTGTACGTGAGTACAATGCCAGACAGAAAAAAAACTTAATCCGACATTTAGACTAGTTCACAAACTGATTTAACTATTTAGTCTTTCAAACAATAAAAAAAAAAAATATGAAAGATAAGGCAAAATTCATAAATAAAAGTAAAAGGTCTTAAAAATGCCAATTAATGACACAGTAAACCCTCAATATAACAATATAATAGGGGGCATTCGCTATATCAGAAGAATAGCATAAGATGCACTACAGCATCTACTGTATACCTAATACAGTAATAACACAATTTACACAACAGCAGGGCCCACTTATATGGCAGGTTAGGTTCCAGGCTACCACCGTAAAGCGGAAATCGCCGTAAAGTGTAACACCCTTTTTTCCACTTATAAATGCATATAAATACAGTGGTCCCTCGGTTATCGGCCATAATCCATTCTAGAAGGTTGGCAAAAACTGAATCGGACAAAAATCAAAAATACTACTCCCATAAGAATTATGTTAATTACAATTAATCTGTTCAGACATAAAACATTCACAAAAAAAAATAATTTTTTAAAACTATTATTAAATATTACATACCTTTATTGAAGGTGAATGCTGGCTTCTGGAAGATAGGGAGGAGGACAGAGGGAGGAGTTAGTGTTTGGAGAGGAATCCCCCTCCTAAAGGACTATAGGTTACAAAGCCTTTCTCTGGGGTTACTTCCATCTTTGTCTTCAATGGCCACTAGACCTGCTTGAGTCAACTGGACCCTGTCTCACACAATAAACTGTTCCCAGAGTGATTCTGTTTCTGGCATCTCAAGATTTCCCTTGAAGTGGGACAGGGTTTTTGTCGCTTAACATGTTGCAAGTTAGCTTGTTTCAGCTTTGTCAGGGTTGGTATTCGATAAAACTTTGCACATCATTCCATTGGCACAAATATTTTAATCAATGAAGAAGGCACCTCCATCTCTCCCTCTTCCTCTTCTCTGACTGAAGCAAGTTCCTCAGCTGCAGTCTGTTGCTGTTCAAGATGAAGCTCTTGCAGCTCTTCATTGGTTACCTCTTCCTGTGGTCCTCCACCAACTCTTCCAAATTCCTCGCCACTCACTTCCAACCCCAGGGACTTCCCAAGTGCCACAATGAGTCACAGGTTGGCAGGGTCAGGGTCAGGGTCAGCTCAAAACCTTCAAATTCCCTCTCTTGGACCAAATATGGCCACAGGTTTTCTCCAAGCAGAGTCAAAGTCCTGGAAGTCACTCCTTCCCAGCCTTAACTATAAGGCTTATGCAATGGAGGATTGGATTGTGAAGTGATTCATCAGAACTCTCTTGGGGTCACCGAGTGTCTGCGGTCAATTCAATGCACCGTTGGAAACTCTGCTTGGTGTAGAGTTTTTTGAAGCTAGAAATGTCCTGCGGGTCCATGGGCTTGGTGGAGAGGAGTGGTGTTAGGAGGCAAGAACTTCGTTTTTGTGAAACTGAAGTCCCTAAACACTTGGTCTTCCAAGTCTGAAGGATGTGCAGGAGCACTGTCATACCAGGAGGTTCTTGAGTGGCATTTCTTTTCCAGGAGGTATTTTTTCACATTTGGGGCAAACAATCATTTAACCACCTTTTGAAAATTTTGCCTTATGATTAGCTTTCCGATCCACACAATCTATTCTTCATGACGTTTTTCTTGAACACTCGGATTTTCCGAAGAGTGTATACACGAGTAAAGGCTTCACTTTTATAATCCCTCACTTGACATTCCACACAACAAAAGGTAGTAAGCCTGTCTTTCATAGGCTTGTGTCGTGGCAGGGGGTCTTTTCCTCCTGGGTAATGTAGGCCCTGTTTGGCATTTTAGTCCAAATAGGCCGTTCATCACAATTCAAACACTTGCTGGGGGTTTGTATCTTCACACGAATTTTTCAGCATCACATTTGTCAGGAACTTGCAGATCACCGTGCCTTTAACACTGTGTATGCCACTATGCTTCTTAAATCTATCAAACCATCTTTGCTGACCCTAAATTCACAAAAACTGCAGACTTGCTCCTGGCCATTTTCTTTGGTGTCTATCGTTAAGTTAGGATTTCAAACGAGGCACTGCATAGCAGAAAAAGAATTGATGCAAAATTCAAACACTGGAGAAAAACGAAGGCATGGGAAAGATCACAGCTATGAAACTTCAGATGCTACACTTTGTTTTAAGGATCTTAGCCTAATTAGAGATGCAGAAGAGAATATCTAAATATTGCCATGAAGACAAAATCATTCAGGAATCTTTGTTCACCAACCCAGATTTTGGTCGTGGTGGTGCTTATTCTTTTCTGCCACACAACACCTCATATGTGAGAGTACATCGTCTGATTTCATAATGTTCTAGTTTAATGTATCAAAATATTTTCTTTGATCAATAACTAGGCATATTAGATATTTATTATTTACTAAGGATAAATAAAGACTGGAGGTAGGGAATTTGAAAAAATGGATATATTTAAATATTTGGGAGCAGACATTTCAGTAAACGGTAAGCCATAGAATAGACGTGGGGGACAAAGGTGGGTGGCGTGTCAAGGCATCTGTGGAAAGAGGTTTATGTACAGAGGCAAAAAGGGAAATGTATAAGAGTATAATGGTACCAACAGTTATAAAGTTGCAAGGAATGGGTTTTGAATGTTGAAGTGAGGAGGCTAGAGGCAGAGGATACATCATTTGTGAGAACAATGTGGAGTGAATATCATGCAGAGAATTCAGAGTGTAAAAATTAAAAGATGTGGGATTACCAAGAGTATAATTGCAGATGGACTGACGGGAGGAACGATGGTTTTTGAGGTAGTTTAGATACACTGAGAGGTTAGAGAGAGAGACTTGAGAAGTATGTAGAAATCTCAGTGGAAGGGTGTGTGAGAAGGAGGGGGGGAGGGGGGGAGAGAGAGACGGGGGAGAGAGAGGGAAGAAGAGAGAGGGGAAGGAGAGAGTAGAGGGTAAGAGGCGAGAGAGGGGAAGAGAGAGAGAGAGAGAGAGAGAGAGAAGAGGAGGGAGAGAACAGACAGAGGACAAGACGAGACAGAGGACAGAGACAGAGACAGAGACAGAGACAGACAGTCAGAGACAGACAGAGACAGACAGCGACAGGAGAGACAGACAGAGACGCAGAGACAGACAGAGACAGACAGAGACAGACTGAGTCAGACAGTGACAGACAGAGACAGACTGATGACAGACAGAGACAACAGAGACAGAGACCAGACAGAAGACAGGACAGAGACAGAGACAGAGTCTCACCTCCCACAAACAGTTCCAGCCGGCCAGTATCTGAGGTCAAATCTGCAAAACACAGGAGTGCAACAATTCCTGTCAACCCTCCCAGGCACATAGGGCTGTGCTCTCGCTTGTCACCGGATGGGGCACACTGCCAAACAACTGCTGCGAGATACAGGTGTAAATTACTGGCTACAAGAAAGGGCATAAGGAGGACCAGTGTCGAAGAAAAAGGAACTTGACAGACAAACAGGGCACCTGTTTAGAGACCTGTTCTCAGATCAAACCAGCAGGATATCTGAATTGGTGAACACTCTCTACGTCACCCATTAGCTTCTCCTATCCAGACCAGCAGGTGGGATTGTGCCTTATACAAGGACCACAGATTACATCCCTGCAGCTGCCTCAGTACCCTACCTTCTCAAAAGGCAGGCACCTTACATTTCCTACACACCACCAACTCAAGCTGACCACTTCATCATGAGAGCCTGTCTATCAGATTCCTGTCGTGCAACATTAGAGGTTTCTTTACTAAGTTGGAGGAGCTCACACATAGTTTTGTAAAACTCGGACGGTCCCGGGACATGATAGCTGTTGTTTGACATTTTTTGGATGACAGGACATCCAGAAATTTTGCAAGAATTGCTGGCTACGACCTCATGCGATGATGAAGATGACAGGCAAGGGCAAGGAGGAGGTGTTGCTGTGTGCTTCTCTAAAAGTGTTCATGTCCAGCACATTGATGTTGCAACCCTACTCATCTTGAAAATGATGTTCTTCAAGCTCTGTATAAATCACTAGTACCTCTGTACCAGCAAGTGCAATGTACAGACCTCAGTGGCAACATGCAGACCCTATCAACTTCCTTATGGAAAATATGGACTCCCTTCTGCCTACAACACAACTGTTCAACATATTTTTAATGTTGGTGTACCTCATCCGAGCACCTTCTACAGAGGGAACTTGGATGACCTTCTTGCAGTGTTTTGACATGAGAATATTTGTTGATTTCCCTACTCATATCTCTGGCTCCTCCCTTGACCCAGTTGTGAGTGATCTGGCAGAAGGCTTTAGTCACTTGTCAACCCTCGGCCTATGTTGGATCGTTGCCACATGGATGTTTTTTACGACCACTTAAGAATCCCAAGAACGGAGGTGAGGAGTCCCACACATGCACAACCTGCTATGGGAAAGAGGAATTGCCCAGCCCTTGGCTCTGAGCTCGCCACCACCGACTGGAATGCTCTTTCTCCGAAGGGGATGTTGACAACCAAGTGTGAAAGCCTTCACTGGACACTCCTTAATATACAACTAGAAACGATTCCTCACGGCAATATGTGTCGAAGCTACAGATCAGCTTGGTTTGGCTTTCATTGTAGAGAGGTGGCTATGCTAAGTACAAAGCTGGCGAAGGTATATGAGAACATCCTACCCACCGATAACAGGAATTGCACATTGCAAGCCTGGTAGGCATATGGGTGATGTTCATAAGTGGGGCCATTGCTAAATGGGAGGTGGACACTAAAGTAAGTGTAGCATCAGTAGGGGTAGGTAGGCTCCAAAACCTGGTGGTCCCTGGTCAAGGACA